TTGCATTGTTTTCCAAAGTGTGAATTTGGGTGGTTTTGCATTAAGTTTCTTTCTCTTATGGATTTCTTGGACTTTATAAACAACCCTGTCAGGACTGGGAGGCTTGTTCTTCCAGAAATCTTGCAAAGGGACAAGAAGAATTTAATCATTGCAGTAGAATGACTTTTTTTTTCATGTTTATTTATTTAATGTTTGAATAGTTGGAAATGTCTTCTCAGTGTGTGAATTAAAGGCTTCCTGTCTAGAGTGTGCAAAGGACTCTGAGCATTCACAGGATATAAAACAGATTCATAATGGAACCCAACAGTATAAACATGTCTTCAGTGCAGACAGAACCCTCATATCTCGTAATGTGAAACACACCCCAGTTGTGTCTGTGTTCTCTTCTGCAAATAAACAAGTGAGAGATGTGCCTGAAATGTTTCCCTGGGACTGAAAACTTCTCATCTCGTTATTTCATTCTCTTTTTAACACATTTATTTTTTTATTGGGATACTTTGAAGAAATTTAATGTAACTTTGCTATAACTCAGTCCAGCTAAATTTGGGCCACTTGAAGACAGCAAGTAGCCTGACCCAAATCCATGCTACTGGTCCTTTTAAATAAGAGGCCTTATTTTATAATTTGTGCCATTTTCTAGGTGTAATCATAGAGTATTGGATGTATGCACACTTGAATGAAGATTAGGTTCTTGAGCTATACTTTTCCCCAGAATCTCCTTTTCGATTAACTTCAGACAGAAAAAAATTGTGGATAACTATTATGGAGAATGATACTTCTTTTCCCTGGAAAATAACTTCCTGGCCAGATTTGTTAGATGCCCTGATACTGAGACCAGAGGTCTGTCCTTCTCAGCTGAGAAAAGTGGATGGAGCAATTAAATCAGATCTGATAGAGTTTTCTTTTTCTCTGTTGGAAACTGTGCACAGATTCTCAACAGTTACATCACTTTTTCTGATCATTTCTCATGAGAGAAATATAGAATGAAGAGGATAGAAATATACAGAAAAGGGTCAGAATATAGAAATATAGAATTAAAAGTAGATGAAGGTATAAGACTGGAAGGATGTTTGAGGTGAGTATTGAAAGGAACAACCCTTTTTCTGGTGTCTTTCCAATGACTGACTTTGCTGTAGCACTGTTGGACTAACCCTTACCTGGTGATATATTCCCAAGCATAGGAAATACTCCACATGTGGCATTCTGGGGGACAGATCAGCATGGGGTATGAGTGTGGGGCTGAATTAGAAATCAAAGGCTCTAAGAAAATGTCAATTCACATCTGTTTCCTGCTCCGGAGCCAGGGGTACAGAGCATGATTGAGGGAGGTTTGAAAAAATGTTTTCTTCTTTAAAAAGGAAAGAGAGAAACATGACTCAACCCTCCATGGTATGAAGTCACCATCCTCTCTGTTATTCACTCCCATTATCTTTTTGCAATCTGTTCCCAAAGGAGCTTCCAGACAACCAGATGCTTATCCCTGCCTAAAGAGTTATTTAAAAAAAAAAATAATAAAAAAAATAAAATAACAATTACGGTACAGAGGAAGGGAACAGCGGTGTAAAAGTCTGGTGCTGCATGAAAATCCTTCCTTCACGTAGAGAGTAAAACAATGTGGCCTTGTGTGTGTGGGGAGGGTGGGGAGAGGCTCTGCAGCACCTGCCTGTGTCTGGCACTGCAGTGGGAACTGCCCGCTCATAACTCACAAATACGGCCTGAAAGGTGATAGCCCGAGGCTGGGATTGTTTTACAGCCACACCGGGCAAGTTCCAGTCAGACAAAAGCTGGAATCACTGGAAGAAAGTGGATTTCCTGTCTATCTGCCTAGAGGACCTGCCTGGATCCAGCACTCAGAGCCCAGTAACTAATGCAGATGTATTTCTTGAACTGGCTGCTCCCTTTCCTCGAGGGTAAGGAATTACACAAAATATGAGATAGTAGCTGATGAAACCCAATATGAGCACTGCTGGAGGTGGGGGAAGAAAATGGGGTAATTGAAAAATTGTGTGTCTGTTCTGTAAAATGCCCTGATTTGTTGTGTGTGCTTGTTTCCACACGTAGGAAATTCCATAGGAAGTGGGATTTATAAGCTTTGCTCATGTAGGATAAGTCCCAGTAAAAATCTCTGGCCGTGAAGTGTTTGCTGAAAGGGTTCTCTTATTTTTCCAGGCAGTGTGAACTGGAGGGTTTGGTTCCTTAGTCACAACATGTCTGTGAAATTTTTTACCATGAGGGTGATGAGAGCCTGGCACGGGTTACCCAGAAAAACCCAGAAAATGCTCCATCCCTGAAGGTGTTCAAGGCCAGGTTGGACTGGCACGAGTTATCTTTAAGTTTTCTGAGTAGCTCCATTGACTGGAAAAATCACTGTCTTAAATCTGCAGAATGCTGTGGAGAAACTGAGGACCAACAACAGAGGAGTCATGGGATGCAGAAACTGTAAAACAACTTAGGGCCTCTGCTACACTGGCATCTGGCTGGATAGATAAAAAGTCCATAAAATCTATGAGTCTGAGGAAAGTGCCTCTCTTTCTCTGCTTAGAAGAGGCAGCACAGATATAAAGGGCTACAGCATGTTTTTTTGTGTTTATACAGGTATCCCCATCCCCTGGGGGCTGTTTGCACTGGCTCTGTATGGGCAGCAAGTCTTGCTGCTCTGCCTGGGTGTGCTTCCTGGGGAAAACCTGCCAGAGCTCTCTGATGGGACGGGGTGATGGTGTGCTCAGATTATTTATTGAGGATCAGGCCTGGGGAGCACTGCCAAACATCCCAAGGCAGAGTTTCCCTCCCTTCTGTGAGGAGGATGCAGCCTGATGTGGATTTTGGAGAAAAATAATTGCAGGTCAGAGATTTTGCTCCCAGACGACAGGTTTTTGCCTGAAAGATTCTTGGCACCAGAGGTTCAGAGGTCAAATGCTTTGATGTCAGGAGTGAAATGTTCCTTCTCAAAACACTAAAGCCTTAGAGTAAGCAGATGGTTTCGTGAAGAAACTGCCTGAGCACAAAAAGATCTCACAGGTGACTCATAGCTTATTTCTCAAAATCCAGAGCAAGAACAGTTTAGGAGCTGTAATTGTGGGTGCAGACTGAGATCCCATTAACTGGCTTTTAAGTGAATTATGATTCAATATGCTACCATTGACTGCTTCCTTGAAGGGGAAGATTTATTGGCCTCTTTTCTGAGCGAGGAGCTGATCTTGGTTTATGTTGGTAGCCAAGATCCCAAAAGTTTTCATCCCAAAACAAGCTACTTCTGCAGGTTGCAAACTTTCTAAGCACAGTGGGGAAGAGGTGCTGTACAGTGTTAGTTGGCTAAAGAGCTTACAAGGAACTGAGTAACACAGAACTCCTGCCCACGGTGATTTGTGTTCCAGGAGATGAGAGTGGGATGTCTGAGTTAGCACCAGAGAGTTCTTCCCAAAACTCAGCTTGCTTCAGTGTTTGCCAAGAGCTGAACTACTGACTTTAGTCAGCAGCACAATCTGAAGGCATCAAGGTTTAAGAAGCAGAGCCCCAGATATTTTCTATTCTTAAAGTTGCAGTAAAGCAAAGCTCCTTCTCATCTGTGAGTGGGCAATTGTTTTAGCCAACTGGTTTTGTGTCACCTGAGTGGTGATGTTATTAACCTATTTTTTAATATCAAGTTTGTAGTCCCAATAATGGTGTTTTGTCATTATCCCCCTCAGCTGGAGTAACTGGGATGCACCAAAACTCCCTGTCTGCCCCATTTTCCGTGGGAATATCTGCCATGCACACAAAAAAGTCCTGGGAGGAAGCTGAGGGTGGTTTTTCTTTACCATAAATTTCTGAGGAGATGGGGGTAGAGGTAGCTCAGAGAACATGCATCCTCCTAATTATTATAATTGATTATATAGTAATTATTACAGTCACAGGATTCGCACGTGTTTACATCCACTCTGTGATGGCAGCACAGTTTGTGCAGAGGCCCTGTGAGGCATCAATGATCTTTATTTTCCTTATTTTTTTGAGTGGGGGAGGTGCTGGTGTTTTGTTTTGGGCAACAGTTGGTTTTGGGTAAAGTGGGCAGGAGCAAGTAGTGCAGTGTGGGAAACCAGACACCAGTTCACTTCCTCAGTGCTTCTCGAACTTCTCAGGTTTCTTTATTTTTAAATAACTTCTTTCAGAAATAATTATTTTTTAAATTGGTTTTGCACAAATATATATACTCTAAACTGCACGTTTTTTCACCTGCCAGTCAGAGTTTGGAAATGTTAAGAAGGAATGTAATGAATGTTTCCTCTTAGTAGGTACAGTAATCAGCTCTTTGAAAAGAACACAACACCTCTGTTAAAAAAAAAGACAATATTTATCTGTTCTGAGTTTTTTTACAAGTGGAATTACCACTGATAGCTTTATAAACATATCATTCAGATATACAAATTTGCACCCAGCAGATCAACAGTTTACAGGCAACCACAATAAATATGCATCAGAGCAGGGTGAGAGGAAGGCAGTATGTCATAGCTGCCATCATGGTTACCTTTCAAATATTCAAACCACTGTTTCAGTGTTCTCAATAGCCACGTTGTGGTGTGCTAGTGTAAAATTCTGTTCAAAACATGGCATTAGTACATTAAACAAAAAGATAGAGCAAATGGAAACAGGCACTGTGCTTTTCTAAATCTTCATAACTTGATATACTATAAGTTTTGGTTGAAAGGGAGGATAATTTCAAGTGGAAGTGTTCTGAAGTGTTAAAACTTCTGGTTGTGCTGTTTATTGGAAAACTTGAAAACACAGCAGTGAGAGCTGTTGTGTTGAGAGTTCCATCTCTGCCGTGCCTGCTGTGGTGTTTCGTGATGACTGCTTTGAAAAAATATTTGGAATTGAGGTCTAGGAGTTTAATTTCAGGATTTACAGTAAGCTTGGAAGAAATCTCCCTCTGCAAATTGCTGCCATCAACAAGGCACCTGCCTTCTTGGACTGCCAGTGTGAGAGCCACCTCCTCTGAAACTGGTCAGCAGAATTCTGTTTATATGTGTTTTTAGTCTCATATTTTATTTTGTAATCTTATTGCCTAGCTACACAGGTGCCCAATTCATTTTGCAAGAAGAATCAGTGACTGTCAAAGTATTTATTTCTCTCAGAGCAAGGCACAAGTAAAATGTGTATTGCCAAATCCAAATGCACACTGAATAGATGTGACCAGGGAAAGACTGGATGAGAACACATCTGTGTTATCACTCTCTGACTGATAACCTGTATTTTCTGAATGTCTGAGCATCTACACAACATTACTCCTGTTTTATATTCCATGTTACTGTTTTTTTTTCTGTAGACACATCTGTGGTAGTAAGACAGTTCCAGAGACAAAAATCAAAATCCTGCCCTCCTTTGGCTTTTTCCCCCCTGTGCTCTTTAATTGCCTCTGCAAATTAAAGCATCATAAACCTCTTAAAGACTGTGGGCTACAGGATTTGCAAGCAGGATGATCTCTTGGAGTAGCTGACCCAAAGCAGTGTTGCATCCACATTCTGATCCATCACTTTCTCCAGACTCCTCTCCCTTTGCTGCAAGGACTACTCAGAGCTGGGAGAGGCAGCAGAGTCCACATCTTCTGTGTCATGTTCCTGTGGGGACACTGGTTGCCCACCTTTAACACGTTTCCACTTCATTCTTCTGTTTTGAAACCACACTTTGACCTGGGTGATAAAGAGGAAATAATTACTTCCTGTCTCAGTCTGAGCTGTACAAGCAGAGCTATGCAGATTTGTGGAATTCCAGAAGAAAAGGTGAACAGAACTTTGCAAGTTTAAGCAATTCATCTTTCTAACACAGATGGGAACAATTCTGTCTAAACTACTCCAGACAGAAGTTCCTCTGAAACCCCCAAAGGTGCTTTGCCTAGAACCTGTCTTCATGTCAAATAAGCATGTCAACACAACAGCCACAGTGCCCCTCATGTATTTTTAAGATCTAGGCCACCCAATCTAATGCTTCAGAAATTTTACTTTGCTTCACATAATTGAGCAATTCATCTATTGTTCACTGGGCTTTGAAAAGGAAACCTGGGCTGAGATGACAATGAGGGAACAGAAATACATCTCTCCACAAAACTCTGCATTTTTGTCTTTCCTTATCACCTCAAAATACCACCCAGGAAGAATGCATGTGTCAAACATATAATTCTAATAATTTCCTGTTAATTGCAGTCTAAGGTGGTGTCCATATTCCATATGTAAACCTTGATATATCAATATGTACCAATGAATGGTGGGAAGCAGCAGCTTGCAAGAGACCAGTTATTACCAAATCTATCTTTAGTTTAGAGAAACGTAATTAAATGTATCAGCTACTCACAGAAATTTGTAACAAGTGTGTTTGAAAAGAACGTGGAGGCTTTGTTTTAAAATACCTCTGTGCCACTGCAAAACCCACCCTCAAGTGACACGTCTGGTTTTTAGTGTTAGGGAGAAGGTTTTTTTGGGGGGGAAGAAGAAGGGGCTGGGGAGACCAGGGTTTGGGGAGTACTTGTCTTTCGGTGAGGTCCAGGTTCACAGCTATCTCGTATCTCCTGAGCCTTGTCAAGTAGTTGTGGTGGGCAAATTCAGCTTCCAGCTCCTGCAGCTGCTCCTTGGTGAAAGCTGTCCTTTCCTTCCGCGATTTGCTGTGGGATTCTGTCTTGCTGCCCGAGCTCTGGTTTTCTGAGAGGCAAAGCACACTTTGTTGTGTAATCTGCAGTTATGTTTGTGTGTGTGTGAACACTTGCATTGTGGAGGGTTGATTTAAACAGCCCGTTGAAGTGCTCAGTGGAAGTTTTAAGGTGTTTGTGTTGAGCTCAGCGTGACTTGTTGGTGCTGCCAGTGTGATGTTGGAGGGGACAGGGGTGGGACAGCTCAGCCAGGAGGGACTGCCTGGCTCTGCACAGTCACAGAGCTGCAGCTGTGGGAAGGGAGCTCTCATTCCTTGCTGGCACTGCATTGAAATGATTTCCTTCCCCGGATTTTTACTTTCATTCCTTGTATCCGTGTTCTCACCCTCCCCTGACCTGCCGTGCAGGAGGCAGCCAAGCCAGCACTTGGTGTTTACAACGTGTCAGGAGTGCATGAAGCCCACCTCTGGTGCAGGGTGTAAAAACAGGTAAGGAAAGGTAAGGAAAAGGAAAAGGAAAAGAAGAGAAGAAGAAAAGAAAAGAAGAGAAGAAGAAAAGAAAAGAAGAGAAGAAGAAAAGAAAAGAAGAGAAGAAGAAAAGAAAAGAAGAGAAGAAGAAAAGAAAAGAAGAGAAGAAGAAAAGAAAAGAAGAGAAGAAGAAAAGAAAAGAAGAGAAGAAGAAAAGAAAAGAAGAGAAGAAGAAAAGAAAAGAAGAGAAGAAGAAAAGAAAAGAAGAGAAGAAGAAAAGAAAAGAAGAGAAGAAGAAAAGAAAAGAAGAGAAGAAGAAGAGAAAGAGAAGAGAAGAAGAAAAGAAAAGAAGAGAAGAAGAAGAAGAAGAGGAAGAGAAGAGAAGAGAAGAGAAGAGAAGAGAAGAGAAGAGAAGAGAAGAGAAGAGAAGAGAAGAGAAGAGAAGAGAAGAGAAGAGAAGAGAAGAGAAAATAAAAGAAAATTGATGCTTAGGAATCAGAGCTAGAGCTGCTTTGAGGTAAAAATATTTATTATTTAGTGAGGCCAAATAGAATTTATATCTAAAGGAAGACTTTGCCTCTTGTACTTCTTACCATAAACTGAGATGTCAAAATCCTAGTATGGTATTTCCAACTAGCACAGGCAACTCAAGCTGAGGGATCTTTGCTCTTTGCCATTCCCTTGTGCTCAGACAAATGGCAAGTATGGATCTGTAACTCCACATCCTAGGACTGTCAGCTCAGCGTGCACATGCCATGTGATTCCTGTTTAGTTACAGCAAATGTGCATTGTACTGGTGAGCAAAATGCTTAGTTCAGTAAACAAGCTCTGCAGGACTGAAATACAAAGGCCAGAATAAGAATAAACTGTTTGGTTTCAGTGTTGTTATTGTGTAAGTTTGCCCAGTCAAGCATTGCGAAATGTTTTGCTAATCAGCTTCCTGCCTTAATTCTCAGTCTCACAATTGCTCTCATTCCATTGCCTGCACTCTCCCACAACCCTGATTTCGTGTCACCTACCTGAGCTTTCCTTTTTTCTTTTGGGTGGCTTTTTCTCAGTGTCCTTTGTGGTGTTCACTGGTGCCTCTTCGTCTCCATCCAGCCCCGCTGGCACACCCGCTGGGTCTGGGCTGCTGCCCTCTAACTGCCCAGATGCCAAGGCCTGTTCTGGGTTGAGTTGTCTCGTGCTCTCAGGTGCTGCCAGGTGCCAGGCAGAGTGTTGGAGAGGGTGCTGCTGCTCCCCAAAGGCTCGTTCCTCCCGTGGGAAGCTCTGGGGAGCCGCCACCAAGCAGGAGGGGGAGAAATCGGAGTAAGCATCAAAGTCTGGTCTCTGGTGGAAGGAGAACGGTGCTGCTGGGCAGTGGTTCAGCCCTGGGGCTGTGCTGACGTCCATGTGGGTGCTCCTCATGCACCCCCAGAGGGCAGGGGGGGGCTGTGGGCTGCGCATGCAGCTGCTGCTGGTGGGATCCATCTGCCAGTCCTGTCCACGCCTCGGTGACGGCTCAGCCTTCAAAGTCAGGAGAGAAGCAGAGGGTGAATCTCCCAAATTTCACAGGATGGGTTTCCTCCCTAAACAACAGTTTGTCGGTGGGTTTTATGCCCCTGCAGGTTTGTTACTGTGGGAGCTTTTCTAAATCGCTTCATTGCCCCAGGTGGGACACAGGACCCAGAGCCGGGCAGGGACCTCCATGAGCTGCTTCCCCAGGCCTGCACTTTGCTCCCTCCTGAAGTGCTGGGCATGAGTGAAACACCTTTTAAATACTGTGCCGGGGAGAGAGTGACAAGTTTGCAAAGTGAAATGTGAGTAAGGGGAGGGAGGGGTTAACACACAATACTCTCAGCCCCTCCAACCAAAGCAAAGCAGGCAGCTATTAATCATCTGAAACCTTATATGCACATCTAATGGGATTTGCAGATGGAGCCTCTTAAAGAAACAATGTCTGTTTTTTGGGTTTTTTTTTTTAAGTTAAAGAGCTGCACACAAAAAAAAAGGTCTTTAATGTTTCTTTGTGACGCTACGAAGTTATTTTTATTGCACTGTTAACAAAACTCCCCAAATCTCGGGTTTAGAAAAAGCCCTAAAACATAATTCAACAGACACCAAATTTCAAGGACTAAAGTGGGAAATAAAAGTAAGAAAGGAGTTTACTAATTATATATAATTTAAGGCCCAATCCTAAAATTTGAAAAAAACCATTAAACCTGGCTTGTACACACATGCAAGGATTTGAGTGGTGTTTTGTTAGATTGGTAACACATGTATTTACTGAGAGCTGGAGTTTGCTGCCAGTGACAGTTATTCTTTCTGTATTCTACTTTCTAGAGAATTTTCAATATGCCACCCCTCCTACAAGGAAATCTCTTGATTTTGTGACAATGAAAGACAAGTTTTTCATCTTTTATTGAACATTTTATAGTTTTTCCTAGCAGAAAGCAGATTCTTAGACCCTGGAGCCACCAAGGTGAAAATACATTAGCAGGGAATCTCTTCTCAGTATCTGATGCCTAAATCATTCTCTAGAAAGAACTCTCCTAAATATTTAAATCTGTTGTTCTGTTGCATTAGACAATAAACATTAGAAAGTATTTCATCCTCAGTGGCAGGAGGAAACCCCCCAGACTGCTTTTTTCCTGAAAGGTCAGGTTATAACGAAACTACAAGTGCTGTAAATGTTCCAGGCACTGGCAGAATCTAAATCAGAGTCCAGAACTTTTTGGCAATGCAGAATATTTATTTTATATTCTCTCTGTGTGTGTTGTCATATGTATAGCACTTCACTCACACAGATTATTAGGGCTTTGTGTGAATTCAGCCTGAGCCTGTTGGTTGTCAGTCCTACCTTCAGTCTACAAAAAGGTCTAGTTAATTATTCAAACATTTATGTTCTTGCACATGTGCTTGCAGGGATGGAAGAGAAAGGAGGATTGTCCCTTAGTCTCTTGGCCACTTCAGTCAGGATCAGCTTTAGGCTCCCACTCAGCCCGAAGTCTGTCTGCAGGGCCTGACTCAGCTCCCCAACGGAGCTCTCACTGTTATTCCTCCAGCCACAGATGTGGGAAAAGGAGAAGTTGTGCCCTTCTGAGACGTGGGAACCCTCAGATCCCGCAGAGCTCCAGCACCCTCAGCAGCTGCTGCTGTCACTTGGGGCCTCAGCAGGGGCCAGGGGACCTCTGCATCTTCCTGACACTTTATTCCTGAAAGAACAACAATCATCCCTTCTTGCTAAATCCCATTTGTCTCTTGAGGTGGCCACCTTTAACCTCTGTAAAGTCAACAACATCTCTTCAGTCAAGGACTGAAAAATTGGTAGGGAAAAATGGCAGGGATGGGGATGAGCTTTGGTGGGGAACGCTCCTGGAACAACCTGAGGGCTGGGAAGTGGGGATTTGTCTTGGAGCTTTCTGTCAGTCCATCCTGGGACTTCCCCAGGTCACCAGGAGACCCAGAGGAGGGCAGAGAGCTGGAGAAGGGCTGCCAAGGTCAGACCCAGCAAACACCTGTGAGGGAGAGGAGAAGGGGCTCCGACAGCAACGGGAGTTGGGAAGGAAGTGCCAAGGCCAAAGATGGGCTCGGTGGGTCCATCTGTCATTTTAATGGTTTTCTCAGCCATTCTGAAGGTATAAAAGAACAGAAGTGTAAAGCTTAGGCTAATAGAGGCAGCCTACCTAGAAGGGAAAAATGATCTCCCACCAATGGAAGTTAAAGAGCCATGTGGTTAAAGAGCTCTATTAAAAGGCATTAGATGTTGGACAAAATGTCAGGAAACGTCGACTTGCATTTTGCTCTAATGCCATATGACAAATTAGTCAAGCTTAAAAGGTCTATATTTGCAGGAAATCAGTATTAGATTTTTGGTAATTCGAGGGAGGGGATCTAGAGAGTGAAAAAGTCTTAATTTCTTCTAAAAAAAAAAAAAAGAGAAAAAAGCAGCTATTTTGTAACAGTGATATCATGGTTGCATGGTATCTTTATATCTCTCCTCCCTAAACTTCTAGGAAGAGGTTTTCAGCCAGTTTTTAGGGAGCTTTAAAGCACATAAATTATATGTGATGCCAGGGAAATAATGTTAAGGAGAAGATGCCAAAGAACCAGCTTCTCAGTCTGGAATAGTATAATCTGAAGTTCTGTGAGTAAATAATGCTTTTAGCTCTGAAGAGTTTTACCTAAAGCATGGTACACCTACTGAGATTCAGTGTCTGACTTGCTCTGTAGATGGGGAGCTGGCATCACCACCACAAGAATTTCTAATTTAATGATAATATTACTCTTAGCACTAAGTCAATATTTCCGGTATTAATTAAATTTGATGGCTTCACAGGATTGAAAAAAAAAAAAAATCCTGCTTCAAGTACAGGAAATCTCAAGAAGTGTTCAGAGATGCTTACATGATGATTTTTCTTAGGAAAGAGAGCAGTAGAAGCAAAAAGCAGAAGAAAGATGGGGCCAGGTTTAAGTTTGCAGTAATTAAAAAAAAAAATAGAAAAGGTGGTGCTGCTGTCACTGGAAATGGGAAATTTGACACAGTAAATTCTAGCATGGGTAGGTGTGTACATGTATTTCTTGTACCTCGAATCTGTCCCCACCTAATTGGGATTTTCTCCTGCAAATTGTTTAAAACACTGTCTTCTAGTTTCTCTCTGCTATTAAGAAGGGAATATGAGAAAATAGGTAAATGTATATATAACAATTAATTGAGATTTAGCAAAGTGTGTTCTGTTTTTTCAGTAGCTCTGTGCTAAGAGAGCAAAGATCTCAGCTTGCAAGTCTGGGCACCAACTTCTGTATTCCTTGCTTGTTTCTCCTCTTTCAGTTCTTTTTCTGGATTTCAGGCCCAGTGTCACATAAAGATGAGGAATATCCTTTCTTTGAAAGGTTTTAAAAGCAAGCAGAGCCTCAGCCACAACATTAATCCTTAAGACAGGAAAGACCATCTGCCCAAAAATTTGATCAATCATCTTTTTTTACCCACTCTTGCCTTTATGTTGTGCTTGTGGTTGTGGCTGTTTCACGAAGACCTAAATGTCCTGAACAAGGTCCAGGGCAGCTGAAGCTTTCTACTAAATTGAGAATATTTCGTAAGATCCACAAAAGAACAGTTAAAGAGTTTGATGGTCAAATAGTTCGAAAAATACAAAATTAGCTCAGTTTTTGGCAGATTACAGAACTCATCTGTTGTTTTCATCAGATAACATGAAAGAAACGGGAGTTGTGGCATCCCCAAGGAACAGAGAGGAACAGAACATCCAGCCTTTTAAAGCCATTTTTATGGATATCTACACTTAGACTTCAGTGCACGGTTCATATATTTTGAGGCAGGGCAGAAGGCAACATTTTCATTTTGTGTCTTTGCTGTATTAAGAATCCCATGTGTTTCCAAATAAATATGTTTATAGGATTATCTGACAGTTGATAAACATTTAAATTTCTTCAGTGCTAAGACATCTGCAGTACTTTTCTTGAGACCACCCTTTGCTGCTGCATTTGTTATTGTCTCTACAATCTCTTTCACTGGAGCCAGTTGAACTAAAGACAATTACACGAAATTTTTGGAAAAGCTTTTTACAAGAGTCACATTTCATTCCTATGTTGAATAACCCTTATGGAAAATTATTTGCCCCCCTCCTTAAATTAAAAAAAAGTTTTCTCTGAGTTCTTATTATTTGGAATACAGTCACAGAATGTTTATTGTTTTGAAGAGATCAGTGTAAAATCTGGTTTTAAAGATGTCCTACGGAATCCTACCTGGTAATTAAAGTTTCAGTTGCCATTTCACTGGGGAATTCTGCTGAAACTGTAGAACACATTACAGCTGTTGTGTTCTGTTGTACTATATCTTAGAACTGGAGCAACGATGACTTATTTCTGTTCAGTTTAAATCCCCTTTTCCCGTAAGTTCTGCTGCGAAGAAATTAATTGTTAGTGGTGGAACGTCTCCCTCTGTTGGTTCCTTTTAAAAAGCAATGTTAACTGCAGTTCGGAATTTTTGTGAGGACGCTTTGTTTTCACACCACGAGGGGGAGATCCCTACCTGCGATTCTGGACAAAGAAACAAGTGTGAAGTCGTAGGTTGAGTCGATGCCTCCACTTAAAAATAAATAAATAAAATAGCACAGCTGAAAGTACGCAGATACTTCATAGAAAGGCTCCATAATTCTTTCGGTTAACATTAAAAAATTTGAAATAATTAAAAAATAATAATAAATAATTAAAAATAATAAATAATTAAAATATAATAAATAAATTATAATAATAAACAATTATAATAATAAATAATTATATAATAAATAATTAAAATTAAAATAAATAATTAATAATAATAATAAGTTTATGAACTGTAGCACCTGTGAGTGTGTGAATTTCCATGGAATTGTGCCCCCTGGGCAGGATTTGCTTGCACAACCCTCAGGCTGCAGTCGGGAGCTGAGAGCACGGTCCCAGCTGAGGGGCAGGGAAAACCCGAGAGGAATTCCTTCCCAGGAAAGAGCCCCACACCTGGGCACATAAAGGACTCA